GCCACTGGGCCACGGCTTCTACTTTGGCTGGTTCGGGCTTCTGTTTGCCGCAACCCACTCTATGTCCGAGGTACTGCACCTCGGCCATCCCTATGCTGCACTTGGCCGGTTTCAATGTCAACCCAGCTTCCTTAATCCTGTCTAGAACCGCTCCTATATGGGCCAAGTGCTCCTGCCACGTATTGCTAAAAATGGCAATATCGTCCAGGTAGGCACAGGTGTAGTCTTGGAACCCATCCAGGAGTCGGTCTACCATCCGCTGGAAAGTAGCTGGGGCGTTTTTCATCCCAAATGGCATGACCTTAAACTGGTACAAGCCAAATGGGGTGACAAAGGCCGACTTTGGGATGGCCTCTGGGGCCAGGGGGATTTGCCAATACCCCTTACATAAGTCAATGGTAGTGAGGTATTGACCCCTGGCCATTCTGTCCAGTAGCTCATCTATCCGTGGCATAGGGTATGCATCGGACACCGTTTTCTTGTTTAATCTCCGGTAGTCTACGCAGAAGCGGGTCGTACCGTCCCGCTTCGGTACGAGTACTACCGGAGAAGCCCAGGGACTATCTGAGGGCTCAATCACCCCCAGTTGGAGCATCTCATCGATCTCCTTGCGCATGTTTTCCCTTACCGCTTCTGGGATGCGGTAGGGGGTCTGGCGCATCGGTAGTTGCCCTGGGGTCTCTACCCGGTGAGTGGCCAGAGGGGTGTACCCAGGTACATTAGAGAACGTGTCTCGTTTCTCCTCCAACAGCTGCTGTACCTCGATGCGCTCCTGTGGGCTCAGCCGGTCTCCCAGTGTGACTTCCCCTAAATCCCCAGACAACTGCCCATCTTCCAGCAGATCTGGGAGTGGTAAGCTGTCAAACTCATCCGAATTGGGCGCACATATGGCGGTTACCTCCTCGGAGCGCGCTTGGTAGGGCTTCATCATGTTCACATGGAGCATGCGTCGCCCTCCCGTCCCTGTACAGGGGCCAATTATATAGGTGGTGTCACATCTCTGTTCCACCACCCTATAAGGTCCCTGCCAGGCGGCCTGTAGCTTGTCATGTCGGACAGGCTTTAAAATTAGCACTTTCTGCCCGACCTGAAAGCTACGGTCCCTGGCTCCCCGGTCATACCATGTGCGCTGGCGGGTCTGTGCCGCCTGAAGGTTTTCCCTTACCGTCCTGGTTAAGGCTTCCAGGCGGTCTCGGAGAGCCAACACATATGGTATGATGGGGGTGCCATCTGCGCTCCGGTCTCCCTCCCAATGCTCTCTTATAAGATCTAAGGGGCCTCTGACCCTCCTCCCAAACAGCAGTTCAAACGGGGAGAACCCCGTGGATTCCTGCGGCACCTCCCGGTAAGCGAATAGGAGATGCGGCAGGAACCGCTCCCAGTCCTTGTGGGTCTCTGCGAAGGTTCGGAGCATTTGTTTCAATGTGCCATTGAACCGTTCGCAGAGCCCATTAGTCTGGGGGTGGTAAGGGGCACTGATAATAGGCTTAATGCCACAGATCCTCCAGAGGTGTTGGGTGAATTCTGCGGTAAATTGGGTACCCTGATCCGAGATAATCTCCCTGGGTGATCCCGACCGGGAGAATATCTGCATGAGGGCATCCGCGACCATTTCAGCATGAATGTTGGTCAGAGCCACTGCCTCTGGATATCTGGTAGCATAGTCTACTACCGTTAAAATGTACCTTTTGCCTGACGGGCTAGCTTTCTTGAGGGGACCTATCAAGTCTACCGCTATTCTGCTAAAAGGTTCCTCAATTATTGGCAAGGGGTGTAGTTTTGCCTTCCTCCGGTCTCCCCTTTTCCCTACCCTCTGGCAGGTATCACAGGTGGTGCAATACCTGCGCACTTCCTGGCTGATCCCTGGCCAGAAGAAACTTTGGGTCAGTCGGTACCTACTGCGGCTGACCCCTAGATGTCCGGATAGTGGGATATCGTGCGCTATCCGGAGTAGCTCTGCTCGGTACCGCTGCGGCACCACTAGCTGCCTCATCACTATTGGGTCTGACCCCTCAATCTGCTTGTCTGTCTCCCTGTACAAAAGCTGCTTGTCCCAGACAAATCTCTCCCCCTCTCCCCCAGGAGGGTCTGCTGTCACCTTGTCCCTGTATACCTGCAAGGTGGGGTCAGTCACTACCTCTGCTGCAAATTCGTTAGGAGGGGCCCAGGGGACACAGTCAAGGGAAGGGGAAGGGTCTCTTACCTGAACCTCCGGAAGTGTGTTGTAGTCCTGGGTGCGGGCCTGTTGACGGGTGACCACAGGGTGAGCTTCTCCTGTGGTGGACGTCTGGGGCTCAAAAGCAGATGTGAGCCTCCCCAGATCGTTCCCCAATAAAACCTCCGCCGGTAACTGCGGCATCAACCCCACCTCCACATGTCCTGCCCCCGCTCCCCAATGTAAATGTACCCTTGCTGTAGGTAGCCGGTACACTGCTCCCCCGGCTACCCTGACGGCCACAGTTTTACTCAGTCTCGCTTCATCCGATACCAGGTGACTTTTGACAAAGGTGATGGTAGCCCCCGAATCACGTAGGCCCTGTACTGCTTTACCCTCCAGGTATACGGTCTGCCTGTGATGCTGTCTGTTATCAGCATTGGCCTGGACTGGATCCGCCTCGTGTAGTACTTCCCACTGTTCCACGGTTGTTATGGGAACAGCTGACCCATATGGTGTGGCCACTATATTTTGGTAGTGATGGGCGGCGGCTGCTCTTGGCGGTGGTGGTGGGCCGGGGCGAATCCAGGTACAACGATCCCTCAGCTGGGGACATTCCCTTTTATAATGTCCCCACTTCTGGCAGTGATGACAGGGGCCAGAAGCGGGCTGGCGAAAACGTGGCTGTACAGCGGGTGGTGGTGGTGGTGGCAGTTGCCTCGGTGGAGCTGGGTTGTAGCTGTTTCCCCCAAAGGTTTTAAAAATGGCTTTTGGGGCTGCCGGTTTCTGCTGCCTGCGTGCATCCAAGTACTCATCGGCCTTCCTAGCAGCTTCGGTGAGGGAGGTAGGGTTTCTGTCCCTCACCCATTCCTGGACCTCGCCTGTTACCCCCTCATAGAATTGCTCCAACAACACCATTTGCAATAAGTCCTCCATGGACCGAGCCTTATTGGACTGTACCCACCCCAGAGCGGCCCGATGCAACTTGCAAGCCCATTCCACATGAGAGTCCTTGTCATTTCTCTTTAGGTCTCTAAACCGCCGCCGATATGCCTCTGGCGTGATTGCATATCGGGCCAGGATCACTTCTTTTACTCTGCGGTAATTCCGAATTTCCTCATCAGGTACAGTTCTATAGGCTTCAGCAGCCTTCCCTGTGAGCTTCCCTGCTAAAATAGGCACCCACTCGTCTGGGCTAATACTATGCAATGCACACAGCCTTTCAAAGTCTTGGAGAAAAGCATCTATATCTTCCTCTGCTTCTACATATGTTTTAAAGGCTTGGTAAGGAATTTTTGTCTTACCTTGTGTGATGGTAGCTGTGGTAGCATTCCTCTCCAGCTGCTGTAGTGGCCTTTGACGCAGTATAAACTCCTGTACCTCTGTCATTGTCCTGGATATAATATCCGTTGTTGGATTCTCTCCATAAAAGGACAGCCTGAACTGCACCTCTCTCCAGAACTCTTCTTTTTCAGCTCCATCTGCTGCACTCTGCTGCTCAGGGATTACCCTGTCCTCCTGCTGGTATTCAGCCATCACTTCTGCAATGAGGATTGCTTTCTTTTTGTTGCTGGCTGCAATGCCTTTCGCTTCCAGGAGATCTTTTAGCGTGGATCTTTTAAGCTTTGCATAATCACTCTCCATCCGTATTCCATTAGTCCTTGTTCCCTTGTGAGTCTGGATCCCAGCGCTGCCAACCAATGTAGCGGAGATGCAATATTCCCCAGGTTATCTCCGCTTATAATCCAAGTGAGGCTCAGGAACAAGTAAATAATAAATCCAAATGCAAGGTTTCCAGCAGGTAAAATACAGCAATATCCCAACAGCAATCCCAATAACTGGACGACACACAGTTTCAGGAGCAGAACTGACAAGCCTTTAATCACAGTCTCCTTATAAAGCATGCTCCCATGCAAGGGAGGGATTTACAGTAATTATTACAGTAGCCAATCCTGTCCTGGTAACCTCCCACACATCTCCTCCCCTCAGCCAGCATCATAATCCCCTTATCCAGCACACCAATTCCCCTCGTTTCTGGATGTACCCGTAATGTAGGGGTACCTCTTTAAATCATACATCCCCTGATAGCCCTGATCTGGGTGACCAACATATCCAAAAATCACCCAGATCAGACCAGGGGTTCGGGAAAAGTATGGAGGGAATAGAATGACCGACCGCACGAACAGAGATAGCCGAATCCGGTTCCATGTGAATGGGCCCTGCGGTCGGTCCTGGCATAAGGGAATGAAATACATGAAAACCTCTAGCTATAGAGGCTAGGGAGGGTTCGCCTGAATCCCCTCGTTCGGTATTTTCTATCTACCGAACGAGGGGCCGTTCGGTAGTTTGGAACCGAACGGACCAGGTGTGTGGAGGTCTCAGCGGTGTTCGCCTACTCGAGTGTCCGATTTTAGTTCCAGACACTTGACGGCAAAACACCGCTGTT